GGAGGGGGCAGGAGCCCGAAACCCCAGCCCCCACTTTGGGTCTCCTGCGCCCTCTACTCCAGCTTTCAAACCCTCCAGGGGTGTGTGGCCCCCTGGAGAGTCCTGATCCCCTAGATTCTCTCCCCACACCTCCCAGTAGGCGGGACTGGAGTGTGTGTGTGTTGGGGGTGACTCGTCCTGTTTATAAAAAGCTCGCCAGCTGCGGAGGCGCGGAGAGACCAGAATAACTTAGCGCCTCGAGGCCCAGCCGCCGCCAACCCGGTCCCCAGCCCGCCCCCAACGCCCTGGAAGTACTGGGACGCCCAACCCCATGTCCCCGCACCGTTTGCATTTGGGAAATTTATTTTTTTTCTTTTTAGGGTAACATGTTTGCTCCCTCCTCCCCCACTCGGACTATAAAAGTATCACGAATCCACTGCGGAGAGATTGGGAAAATTCAGAAAAACAAAAAAGAAAATAAAAAGAAATCCACCTCCCATTCTCCCCGCCCTCCGCGCCCACGCGGTAGTCCGTGCTCTGTGGGGGGTTCCAGGGCAGCTGGTCCAAGCCCTTGTCTGCGGCCTCGTTGGAGGGGAGGAGGTTTTAGGCTGCTCAGCTCCCTGATCGCCCAAAGGCACGCTTCCTACATGGGTGGTTCTCTCGGAAATACCTCCTTCCTTTTTTTCCCCAGGAAGAGAAAAGCGAGCCACGAGAATGTGCAAAAGCTTCTGTCACTGACGTAGTATTTTAAAGTAAAAATAGCCGGGTGAGGCGGCTCACGCCTGTAATCCCACCACTTTGGGAGACCAAGGCGGGAGGATCGCTTGAGCCCAGGAATTGGAAACCAGCCTGGGTAACACAGGGAGGCCCCGTCTCTACAAAAAATTTAAAAATCAGCTGGGTGTGGTGTCGCGTGCTTGTGGTCCCAGCTACTCCCGAGGCTGAAGTAGGAGGATCACTTGAGCCCAGGAGGTCGAGGCTGTAGGAAACCGTATCGCGCCACTGCACTCCAGCCTGGACGACAGAGTGAGACCCTGTCTCAAAAAATTAATTACGGCCGGGCGCGGTGGCTCAAGCCTGTAATCCCAGCACTTTGGGAGGCCGAGACGGGCGGATCACGAGGTCAGGAGATCGAGACCATCCTGGCTGACACGGTGAAACCCCGTCTCTACTAAAAAATACAAAAAACTAGCCGGGCGAGGTGGCGGGCGCCTGTAGTCCCAGCTACTCGGGAGGCTGAGGCAGGAGAATGGCGTGAACCCGGGAGGCGGAGCTTGCAGTGAGCTGAGATCCGGCCACTGCACTCCAGCCTGGGCGACAGAGCGAGACTCTGTCTCAAAAAAAAAAAAAAAGAAAAGAAAAATTAATTACTTAATTTAAATTTAAAAAGAATGCAAGCCCTTGATTATCCAGAGCAGCACTGGGCTCTGGAATTAGAAATGGTTGAGCTGGAGGAGGGGCTGCGGGCTTGGGGCATTTTCTGTGTGGCAGGAGAGACACAGCTGGTGGGAGAAGGGGCTGGGCTTCCAGGCCGGCCCCACTCAGAGGAAAGTCCAGAGGCCTCCCCATGGCCCCACCCTATCGTCTACACTAGACAAATAAAAATAAAAATCTGGCCAGGCGCGGTGGCTTATACCTGTAATACCAGCACCTTGGGAGGCCGAGGCAGGAGGATCACTTCTTGACCTTGAGGTCAGGAGTTCGAGACCAGCCTGGCCAACATGGTGAAACCCCATCTCTGCTAAAAATACAAAAATTAGCCTGGTGTGCTGGTGCCTGTCCCAAGAGGCTGCTTGGGAGGCTCAGGCATGAGAATCGCATGAACCAGGGAGGCGGAGGTTGCAGTGAGCTGAGATCACACCACCACTGCACACCAGCCTGGGTGATAACAGGGAGACTCCGTCTCAAGAAAAAAAAAAAAAATTAAAAAAAAAAAAAAGTATCCCAGATACGGGTCCAGGGACGACTTCTTGGGGAAGAAGACACTAACTTAAAACCCAGTGGGGGGCCAGGCATGGTGGCTCACGCCTGTAATCCCAGCACTTCGGGAGGCCGAGGCGGGTGGATCACCTGAGGTCAGAAGTTCAAGACCAGCCTGGTCAACATGCTAAAACCCCGTTTCTACTAAATATACTCCACCTAAAAAAATAAAAAAGAAAAAGAAAAGAGAGAGAAAGAAAGAAAAGAAAGAAAAGAAATATGAATATCTTATAACAGATGTAGAAAAAATGGAGGGAAATAAGGCAAAATACTGCAGATAATCTATGGGTGGAGATACAGCAGAATTTTATTTCCTTCTTTATACATTTCCATTATTCCCAAATTTTCTACAACGAACACGTACTACTTTGTAAGGGGACTGGGGGAAAAATCTTGGAAAAAAAAATTCCCTAAATCTCTGCCTTTTAAAAGTCTGGAAGGAAATGCACCAAGTTCGTGAACCCGGATGACTTTTAGTTCTGGCACTGTGGAATTTTATCATTAACTGTGATGATGATGAATTCTGAGTGGTTATAATATTTACGAACGAAGCCAGCTGCTCTGGAAGCCGAGGGCGGCTGTGATGACGCCTGCATCTTGTATAAATATTCAGGCACGCGAAGAGGGAGGCAGAGGGTAGGGATGGATACTAAGGCTTCCGGAGGCGGGGATCGAACCCTAGGCTTGAGCATGGTGCTCCCAGTACGCTCGGAGTCCCGACCAGCAGGACGAGCTCTTCCCAGCGAGGTGCCCTAAGTGGGACCATCAGAGCGGGAGGATGCCACCCCTCCAACCCACCCGCCAACCGCGGAGAAGCGCGCCCCGCCGTGTCTCCCACGCGCGCCACCAGGGGGCGCCGCTGGCTAATATTGGGCGCCCAGATGCTTGACTTTGTGCTGGCAAGAGGACCGCTCTGTGCCTCAGTTTCCCCATCAGTGAAATGGCCAGGACGCTCAATTTGGTCAATCGAATGTCTTAAGATGTAAAGATTTTATTTAACCCCAGATAAATGCTCAGTACCCCAAATGTCTAGGATATTTCAGGTAGGTAACAGACCACAACTCCCCACCCCCAACCGGAGTTTATCCAAGTACTAGGATCAGCTTACAGAGGGGAAACGGAGGCCCAGAAGGGGCTATGATGGCAAGAAAGCCTCAGGGGCCTCCCTCCCTCTAGGGGGAGTCTGAGGCAGTTTCAGGAATCAGGAGACTTGGAGACCCACTAGGGAGGGGAAAATTGTGTGTTTTTGTTGCTGTCCTAGGGGAAGGAGCAACATTTGGGGGACCCAGCATGGAGTTCTGAGGACAGAGAAAGCAGGGGGCTCCTACATCCAGAGACACCGAAGACAGAAAATACAGCAACTTAAAGCAACAACTGGTGCATAGGTTAAATCAATCTTCAGAGACATGTCGGCACAGAGCCCCCTCTTTTTGTTGTTGTCGCCCAGGCTGGAGTGCAATGACATGACCTCGGCTCACCACAACCTCCACCTCCCAGATTCAAGCGATTCTCCTGCCTCAGCCTCTCAAGTAGCTGGGATTACAGGCGCCCACCACCACGCCCAGCTAATTTTTGTATTTTTAGTAGAGATGGGGTTTCACCGTGTTGGCCAGGCTGGTCTTGAACTCCTGACCTCGTGATCCACCCGCCTCAGCCTCCCAAAGTTCTGGGATTACAGGTGTGAGCCACCGCGCCTGGCCTCTAATTTTGTGTATTTTTAGTAGAGACAGAGTTTCACTATGTTGGCCAGGCTGATCTCAAACTCCTGACCTCAGGCGATCCACCCCCACTCAGCCTCCCAAAGTGCTAGGATTACAGGCAGGCGTGAGCCACCTGGCCTGGCAACTTTTTCTTTTTTTTTTTTTTTTTTTTTTGAGACAGAGTCTTGCTCTGTTGCCCAGGCTGGAGTGCAGTGGCACGCTCTCGGCTCACTTCAACCTCCACCATCTGAGTTCAAGCGATTCTCCTGCCTCAGCCTCCCAAGTAGCTGAGATTACGGGTGCCCATCACCACGCCCAGCTAATTTTTGTATTTTTAGTAGAGATGGGGTTTCACCATGTTGGCCAGACTGGTCTCGAACTCCTAACCTCAGGTGATCCACCCACCTCAGCCTCCCAAAGTGCTGGGATTACAGGCATGGGCCACCGTGCTCAGTCTCAGAGCCCCCCTGTCTTTCCTTTCCTTCTCTTTTCTTTTTTTAATTTTATTTTTATTTATATATTTATTTTTTGAGACAGAGTGTCACTCTGTCGCCCAGGCTGGAGTGCAGTGGCGCCATCTCAGCTCACTGCAAGCTCCGCCTCTGGGGTTCATGCCATTCTCCTGCCTCAGCCTCCCCAGTAGCTGGGACTACAGGCGACCGCCACGATGCCTGGCTAATTTTTTATATTTTTAGTAGACACAGCGTTTCACCGTGTTAGCCAGGATGGTCTTGATCTCCCAACTGCGTGATCCACCCTCCTCGGCCTCCCAAAGTGCTGGGACTACAGGCGTGAACCACTGCGCCCGGTCTTTTTTTTTCCTTTTAGACAGGATCTTGCTGTGCTGCCCAGGCTGGAGTGCAGTGATACAATCATAGCTCTCTTCAGCCTCCAACTCCTGGGCTCAAGCGATCCTCTTTGTCTCAACCTTCTGAGTAGCTGGGACTACAGGTGCACACCGCCATGCCTGGCTAATTTTCTTTTCAGAGATGGGGGTCTTGCTATGTTGCCCAGGCTGGTCTCAAACTCCTGAGCTCAAGTGATCCTCCCACCTCAGCTTCCCAAAGTGCCGGGATTACAGGCATGAGCCACCATGCCTTGCCCAGCCCCTCTTTTCTGCTCCTCTTCCTGCCCCCTACCACAGTTTCAGAAACAAAATTGGGTATGAATGAAGCTTTGGTGCTGAAAATTTCCCCACTCACATTTCCATGCTCTTGCAGAGAGCTGCTTGGTAAGGGAAGACGGTGAGATGCCTTTGGGATGGTCTCCTGACTCCCCCACCCCTTGTGCAGGGCTACTACAGAGGCATCAAGCTGGTATGAAGTAGATAGGCAATACATATTTGACAAAGAAGGAAATAATTAAGTGACAGATGTGGCTCAAGAGTGACCACTGGAGAGGGTGGGCTAGAGGCTCTAGCAGACAGCACCTCTCCTCGCAGGGATAGAAGCCCAGGAGAAAGATCCCAAGGGCATTATAAGAGGCTGCCCCTTGGAGAGCTCTTTTAGGCAAGTCCGGGGTCAGAGTGGACCCCAGCCAGGTGCCTCCAATTAGACCCTGAGAGCCACCTATGACTAAGAACTTGATTGTCTCCCTCAATGGATGGGAAAGTGAAGCAAAAGCCACATGGAGCCACTTCCTGGAAAGTCTGCCTGCCAAGAGCCAAAGGAATTCACCATCCATTGCCCTTGCAGTTCACGCAGGGCTGGCCCTAAGTCCTCTGGTTGTCGAGGGGTAAGTCCCTAGGGTCTGGGCCAGCTTCCGGGGACAGGAGTTCAGTGTCAGGCAACTCCAAGGCCTCTTTGTCTAAAGCTGTCTCTTCCCCGTCCTCTTCCTCCTCCTCCTCCTCTTCCTCTGCCTCCTCCAGAGTCAGCTCAAACTGGAATCTGTCAGGCCCGCCCCACTCAGGGTTGGTGAGGTCTGAGGGACTTCGGGGGATCTTGCTCTGGTACCACTCTCGATTGTCCTCCAGCGTGTCCAGCAGGTCCTGTGCGTCTGGGTGGACCAGGTCAGCCCAAGTCTCCCACAGTGGGTGGGCAATGTAGTCAATGAAACCCACCTGTGGCGGGGGGTTGGGCAGGTAGGCATTTGGTAAGTCACAGTGAACCCTAGACTCAATCCAACCTCCAGATCTTCAGCCAAGTTATTTCCTCTGCCTGGAATACCCCTTCCCAACTCCTACTCATCCTTCAAAACCCTTTTCAAATAACTCACTGTCTAGAATGCCTCCCTTAACCCTTCTGATCTCCTCCAACCCCAACCCTGACCCCACAGGGCTGAATGTACATGTCCCCCAGACTGGAAGCCCCTCCAGGGTCCCGCATGTCACCCAGAATAGATGTTTCCAAACCCCAGAAGTGCATGTCCCTCTCCCTGAAGCCCAGAGAGAATGGATCCCAGGTCTAACTTGGCCCAGACAGCACCCTTAGGTCACATGCCCTGGCTAGCCAGCCAGGGCCAAGCCAGGGCTCATGGGGTTGGCTCAGCCCCTCCCTTTTACTCTCTCCCAGTGTCTACCGGCTCAGCCCAGTCCCCTGCCAACCTGGGACTTCTCCACTGAGGCCGTGTGCTTGTCACACATGGGACTGATGTCCAGGCCCGACTCACGCTCGCGGTCTCCCTGATGGAAGAACTCGGCCATGATGCGGTCTGTCCACTGGCGGTACAGGGGCAGCGGCTTGGTGGGGTTGCTCAGGTCAGCGCAGTGCACCAGATTCTGCAAAACCTACAGAGAACGAGGCTCGGGAGGGTACTGGAGGGGCCCAGTCACATCTGGACCTGGCACCCCCACAGACAGGCTTGGTGCCATGGACACATTCATCTTACAGGTGGGGAAACTGAGGCCTGAGACCTGAAGAAGTGGTTAAGGCATAGGCATGCGACTCTTGACATTTCTTCAAGTTTGGCATACAGTCGGCACTTCATAAATGAAGCTAAATGAGAATTGCAAAAATGGAGACCCTCTCCAATTTTTTTTTTTTTTTTTTTTTAAATGAGATGGGATCTCACTCTGTGACCCTGGCTGGAGTGCAGTGGCGAGATCTTGGCTCACTGCAACCTCTGCCTCCCAGGCTCAAATGATCCTCCCACCCCAGCCTCCCAAGTAACTGGAACTATAGGCATGTGCCACCATGCCCGGCTAATTTTTGTATTTTTGTAGAGACAGGGTGTTGCCCAGGCTGGTCTTGAACTCCTGAGCTCAAGCGATCCGCCCATCTCAGCCTCTCAAAGTGCCAGGATTACAGGTGTAAGCCTCTGAGCCAGGCTTCTTTTTTTAATTTCTTTTTTTTTTTTTTTCCTTTTAAGAGACAGGGTCTCACTCTGTTGCCCAGACCAGAATACAATGGTGCAATCACACCTCACTGCAGCCTCTAACTCCTGACCTCAAGCAATCCTCACGCCTTAACCTCCCAAAGTGTTAGGATTACAGGTGTGAGCCACTGCCCTCAGCCTTCACTCAAACTAAATGTGTAAGAGGCCTAGCTAAAATTGTTTTTAAAGTAAAACCAAAATATAAAAAGGAGGCCCCGGGGCCCGCCCAGCTACACACCTGGATTCGGTCGGAATAGTTGTCCAGGAGGAGGACGCCGAGGCTTGTCACCTTCTTGGTCTCCACCATGGTCTTGAGGTCGGCCAGGAGGTTCATGTGTTTGGACATGTCTGTGGCCAGCACCTGGGGGCAGGCAAGGGAAGGTGACAGGTGCAAGGACCCTGCCCACCCCGACCCTCACTCCCAACTCCCAGATGCCACTCCGGCTCAGAATCAGCCTTCTGGGCCTCAGCATACTCATCTGTGAAATGGGAGGATGGAACTGCATTCACTGCAAACCCTGCTCACAAGAGGGGCTCAGTCAGGGGCCCCTTCTGGGAGGTTGTTTGGGTTGGCCATGAATTCTACATGTGTGACAGGGTGTGGGGGGAGGTGACCAAACCTGTGCGTCTGGGACTTGTGAGCCCAGGTCTCCCACAGTGGGTGGGCAATGTAATCAATGAAATCCACCTGTGGGGTGGGTGGGTCAGGTAGGTATTCAGTGAGTCACAGCAAACCCTAGAACCAATACAGTCTCCAGATCTTTAGCCAGGTTTTTCCCTCTGCCTGGAATGCCACTTCCCAACTCCTACTCATCCCTCAAAACCCTTTTCAAATAATCCATCCTCTAGGATGCCTCTGTTGACCCTTCCAGCCTCCTCCAACCCCAATTCTGATCCCACAGGGCTGCTTACATGCTAAGGTGAGTTGTACCTGAGGACAGCGTGGAGGATGAGGTCTGTGCAAAGGGACTGGAAGAGTTGCGTACATAAGAGGAACCTAGAAGGGGTGGTTGTGGCTGGAAGAAGTGAGCTCAAGAGAGATGGAGGTGAGACCGAGGAGGTTGAGGGCCTCTGGCAGCTGGAGGACCTTGTCCAAAGCTGCAAGAGAGTTTGCAGCTCACTGTGGGGAGGGATGTGACTTCATACCCCTCAAACTTCCATGTGGCTGCCATGTGCCCTGGAGAGCTATTTCTTTCTTTTTTCTTTCCATTTTATTTTATTTTATTTTATTTTATTTTATTTTATTT